GCATTAAAGACACAGTACCATAATCACAGTGGGAGGTGTAAATATCCCCCACGTGTGTTTGTGAATTCTGATTGGAAGTTATCCAATCAGAATTAAGCACAGAGTTTATATACTTACCTTTTCTGTCTCTCAGTGCCCTGTTGTGGTCTTGTGATACCTGTAGTGCAGTTTGCTCGTGTTTCTCTCTGGTTACCGATTATTTGGCTTGTTATTCCGATTTTTCTGTATTCTCCATTCCTTTGACCTTGGCTTGTTTCTCGCTCTCCTTTCTTCTGGCTCCCTTTACTTGGCTTGTCTCCTGACTATTCTTAGTGTGCTTAACCCGGCCATTCTAAGGACCAGTATAGCACCCTTCCTCTCTGTGACCTGTTAGCGTGTTAGGTTCCCGAATCGTGACAAGGGACTTAATAGGGAGTTTTCTTTTAATTATCTTTTGTAATTAGGTATATATTTATAGTGATTCATTTCAGGTTTTATCTCTTCTCTTGTTTTCACTGAGCTTCTCGAAGTTACATCGTACCCTTTTGCACCCACCTGGTATGTGGTGGTATGTGAATTACACATATGATTTTTTGTCATTAATATGAATTATATTTCATTTATATTCATCAGTATATTTCCCTTCTTAACTGAATCTTAAAGTTTTTTGGACTCTTTAGATGTTAGAATAACAATAAATCTGTATCCATTGAGATTCCCTTTCATTATTGATTATTTATAGAGAAAATAATTTATCTTTCTATTTCCATTTCTTCATTAATCTAGTACTCTCAAATCTATTATTGAAATTTTGCCTGCTTCATGGAATTATATATGCTAGTTTAACTTGCTGTTTTAGACAGGACATCTGATTTTTTTTCATGTTATGGAACATTAAACTATAAATGAGTGTTACTATATATTGGGTTGAAAAAAAGAAAGAAACACAGAGTCCCTATGTATAGGGATCTGTAGTGTGTCCAGAGAACCTTTAAAACAGGGGATAACCCTTAAACTTGACACAAAACAGTAGTAGATTAAAGTGATCCAAGGATATAAAATCCCAGGAGCACAACAAACGTTCTCTGGGTATGCAAGTATATATAGAACCGATTAAAAACACAGTTTATTATAGAACATAAGTCCCCCCAAAAAAGAAATAAAAGTAAATTAAACCTAAATAAATACCATCACATCTAAAAAGTGGAGGAGAACTATAGTCATGTAGTCTTAATGGGGATATGGATTAACAGGTATTTTGATGGTGCTGGGAAGTGAGCTGATATACAGTCTAATGAATAAATAGCTCCAAACCTCAAGCACAGCGTCTCCTAAAAATAAACAGTATCCTCACTTAGTAGGTGGCATTCTGTATGCATACAAAGTCTGCAAAAAGTCTATATAGGTGAAGAATACCAAACAATTCAGATAGATGACTGAATATAAAGAAGGTATGTGTATCTTCACTCAGTGAATAACTTCAAAATACTATTGATAATAGACGCATGCAGCCAGGGCCGCCATCAGGGCATGACAACCGTAACGGTTGTCATGGGCCCGGCGGTCCTGGGGGGCCCGGACTGCTCAGGTCGTCCGGGCCCCACATTCAGTGGGTACATACCGGGTCGCAGGGGCTGGCCCAAGGCTGGCCCTGCTGACACCCGGCGGGCCGGCGCGTGAGGGAGCACTCTCTGTGTGCTTCCTCTTCAGCTCCCTCGCGCACCGTACTGATGCCGGAGCCGGAAGATGACGTCATCTTCCGGCTCCGGCATCAGTACGCGGCGCGCGAGGGAGCTGAAGAGGAAGCACACAGAGAGTGCTCCCTCGCGCGCCGGCCTGCCCGCCCGCCGCCAGTGTCAGGGGGGGTAGGAGGAATGAAATTCGAGGGAGTGGGGGTTAGGAATGAAATGGGAAATGGGAGGGGGGAAGGAATGAAATTTGAGGAGAGGGGGAGGAAGGAATGAAATGGGGGGGGAAGAAATGAAATTTGAGGGAGGGGGGAGAGGAATGAAATTTGAGGGGGGAGAGGAATGGAATTTGAGGGAGGGAGGGGGGAGAGGAAGGAAATTTGAGGCAGGGAGAGAGGAAGGAAATTTGAGGGAGGGAGAGAGGAAGGAAATTTGAGGGACGGGGGGAGAGAAAGGAAATTTGAGAGACGGGGAGAGGAAGGAAATGAGAGGGAGGAGGAGAAGAAGGAAATTGGAGGGGGGAAGAAGGAAATTGGAGAGGGGGGGAGAAGAAGGAAATTGGAGGGAGAGGGGGGAGAAGGAAATTGACGGGGGGAGGGGGAGAGATTGACATCCATCACACACAATGCACCCCTTGCACACAGAAAAACACACAATGCCTTACACACAGATACACGTACACAAGCAATGCATCCCTTACACACAGCAACACACAATGCACCCCTAACACACACTCAATGCATCCCTTACAGACGCACACACTGCATCCCATACATACACAAACTCATCTTGCAGCCCTTACACAGATTCACACAATGCATTCCTTACACACATCAGGACATCCCCCACACACACACACACACTCCACTCCCTGTGAACAAACTCATTGGTGGAACATGAAGGTGGACCCTGGGACCCAGACATTGAGCTGTGTAAAGGGCCCTCAAAAAAATGGAGCTGCTTCCCGTTCTCCCAGAACAGTGATTTTTGTGACCAGTTACAAACCGCCTCCAGAGAGCCTGTTGTACACCAGACCAGTGGAGCCAGACGGCAGCTAGAGCCCATCTTCATCATCCTCATCTGGTTGTAAGTAGGCAATCTAGTATATTATTCGTGGCACTAATCTCTAATTTACCTCACATTAAAGGGACACTATAGTCCCCAGAACCACTGCAGCTTAATGTAGTGGTTCTGGTGTCTAGCCTGTCCCTGCAGGCCTTTTAATGTAAACACGGCGGCACTGCAGCACTGCTGTTAGTTAACATGGCAGATCACATGGGTGGGGCATTGTGATGTCACATGGGGGGGGCGGCAAACTTTACTTTTGCCTAGGGCGGCAAAAATCCTTGCACCGGCCCTGTAGACACTGCATCCCTGTGGGCGGATTCGGGGGGGGCAGCACTTTGGGCGGACTCGGGTGCAGGCACCGGGGGGGCCCAGACCTTGAGCTGTGTCAGGGGCCCCAACATTTCTGATGGCAGCCCTGCATGCAGCCCACCTATTTGTATACTGTAGTTAATACAGAGAGCTACTTAAGTACTATATTTATAGATTTTTTGCAGACTTTGTATGCATACAGAGTGCCACCTACTAAGGGAGGATACTGTTGTTTATTTTTAGGAGACATTGTGCTTGGGGTTTGGAGCTATTTATTCATTAGACTGTGGTCCCATACTGGGTGTTGGCTGGGGAGCTGCAGTTCTGAAGGATGTTCCGGTGTGTGGGGATACTAATTGATACTTGTAAGGAAACCGGGTATATGTAATCATCATTCGGTAGTTTCCTCCCGAACCGCCAGAGCATCCAGTGAGTATAGCTCTCCGTTCGGTAGTTGAAATAGACGATTGAATAGTAATACAAATAGCTTTATAGGATAATTCCCTTAATAAAGCACACGAATCCCCAAACATCAGCCGAAGTCAAGAAGAAGGGTACAACTGAACTGAGCTTTAATGACCACACACAAATTTTTATGCAAGTCCCCATGCAAGGGGACATCCCACAGGGAGGAACCCAGTTTAACCAATCCGGCACAGTAAAAGCATAAAACACACCCAGTACACACATACAATTCCCTCCCCTAGTCCTGGAGATAATCAAGTCTGATAAAGTAATAACTTGATTATCTCCAGGCAGAAAAATCACAACTTTCCCCAATATTTGGAACACCCCTTTATACATGAGGTATCCCCACAAATAATATGTCCCCTGATAGCCCCGATCTGGGTGACCAACATATTCAAATTTCACCCAGATCGGTTCAGGGGTTCTCAAAAAAGGTGGAAGTCTACTGTGTTCGGCTAACCGTGGGCTGGCTGCCCAAAATAGTTCCATGAGTTTGGGTGGTTTTGCTGGTCACTTCAGTAAAGGGGGAAAGAAAACGAATAAAATACCGAATGGATTCTCCTGGCTCTCAGCAGCGATTGTTCCCCTCAGTCGAATCCACAAAAGTACCTAATAGCGCTCTTCTAGCTATTCGGGAAATATAATTCCAGCGTTCGCCTGTTGGAGACCAGTGTTCGGGAAGTCGATTGTCCGATTTTAGTTCCAGACACTCGACGACCAAGTCCCACTGCCTTTGTTCGGCTGAAAAAAGATGGCCGCGGTTTTCACAGCCACGTGGCGTTCGGTAGTATGAACGCTGGCCGCACAGATAGAGGGGTCAATTAATGAATGCTTTGAAGCTTAATGAGCCAGGGGGTGGTCTTTGTTTGGTAGTTAGATCTACCGAATGAATAAGGGAGAACTAGGGTGCATAGATAAGGATTTCTTCACAATACTAATAGTGGGCATCATCCTGACAGGAGTTCCAAAGAGTCAATTTGCTAGAATCCAGATGAATTGTACTGATAGTTTTTAAACAAGGTTCTTGGAGAAAGGATATCCTGAGGAAACTTTAGATACAGATATTTACAAGATAGGATGTAAAGATAGAGAGGATTTTCTCCAAGACAGGCAGACTACTAAGAACACCATGAGGTTGAAATATGCTTTTAATACATAGAACAATTCCAAAACTTTCGATATTCAAGCAATAGTAAGAAGACATTGGCCGCTTCTTCTAGAGGATGAATTCCTTAAAACCAAATTACTACCAATTAAAAAAATATATATATTCTAGCTCCAAGTACATTTGGAACAAAAGAAACTATGAAAAAGAAGGATTTAGGTTCTCCTACTTGTGGGAACTATCAAAGTTGTGGACATTTATATAGGGTAACTAAAGAATTTACCTGCACTCAAACCTCCAAAAAAACTTAAGTAAAAAGCTTTGTTTCTTGTTCCTCCACACATTTTGTATACGTGATCACATCTGCTTGTGTTTTGCAATATGTTGAGAGGACGTGAAAGAAATCTAAAATTAGATGCCTGGAACACCTTCATAATGTACTGAGGAAAATAACGACACATTCAGTCCCAGTTCATACCAACAGATGCCCCCATTTTAATAATAATTTAAATTTTACAGTTATAGAACAGGTACAATTGGACGAAAGAGTTGGGATTTTAATGCAAAAATTAAGAAAAAGAGAAGGCTTCTGGATCCACAAATTACAGACAATGCAACCTAAAGGTTTAAATGTGGATTTTGATTTAGTGTGTTTTTTTTTAGGGTTTTTGTATTTCTTTTTGTATACACAATATAGCTATATTATTCCATTAAAATCTTTATTTTTTCTTGAGTTTAGATGAAATATAGGTAATTACATTTTTAATATTTTAGATTTGAAATTTAATAGATCTAAAATGTAAGATAGAAAGGGAAGGAAAAATCCACTTTTTATATTATTAATCTTTTTAAATATAATTTTAATGTATATTTTGTATATAATTTTTATATCCAATATATTTGTCATTTATACACAAATTAATATTTTGTGTATATATATATATATATATATATATATGAACTTATTTGATCTGTTTGTGATACATATAATATTGTTTTTATTTCATGTGAAAACGGTGAGCATTCTGGACCAACCAAACAAGACTAAGACTCTGTGGAATACAGCACCTTTGCAATTTAAAATGATGAATCCAAGACAGACCTCAGATGGATTGTGCATTTTCTTGTGGAACGCATGCGCTAAGTATTGGATTGTACTGGATTTAAAAATTAAACAGAGCATACTGGAGGTTCAGACAGCTCCCAGCATCGAGGAGTAAACTTTTTTATTTATAACCCTGACGAAGTTCGGACAGATACCGAACGAAACACGTAGGGTTGGACAGTATAAGGCAGTTTTATTTCTGTATTTTTGTGTTGATTGTTTATAATAAATATGTTTTACTATCGGAGGAAGTAAGAAGCGGTCATCTACTCAATCTTCATTTAGCCCATATTGTACAATTAGCCCCCCTGTGTGTCATATTGGAGATGGGGGCTATTACCCAAGAGAAACCTTTGATTAATCTCCTACAATAGTTATGGAAACTAATAGACCCCTGGATGGCTTGGAACACAGAACGGCCTCTAGTTTGCGAGGATCCATTTGGAAACCAGAGGCAGAAATATTATACCGCGAAAACCGAACCTCGTGCTGAGCAAATCTGCATTTCTCAAGTTTACAATAAAGTCCATTATCAAACAATGTTGGGTCAGGGTGTCGGTTCTGACAGGATGGTGCCGGGTCAGGGTGTCGGTTCTGACAGGATGGTGCCGGGTCAGGGTGTCGGTTCTGACAGGATGGTGTCGGGTCAGGGTGTCGGTTCTGACAGGATGGTGTCGGTTCTGACAGGATGGTGCCAGGTCAGGGTGTCGGTTCTGACAGGATGGTGCCGGGTCAGGGTGTCGGTTCGGACAGGATGGTGTCGGTTCTGACAGGATGGTGTCGGGTCAGGGTGTGGGGTTCTGACAGGATGGTGCGGTTCTGACAGGATGGTGCGGTTCTGACAGGATGGTGCGGTTCTGACAGGATGGTGTCTCGGGGTGTCGGTTGGGACAGGATGGTGCCGGTTCTGATGGTGTCAGGGTGGGTGACGGGATGGTGCGGTTCTGACAGGATGGTGTGGGTCAGGGTGTCGGTTCTGACGGGATGGTGCGGGTTCTGACAGGATGGTGCCGGTTCTGACAGGATGGTGCCGGTTCTGACAGGATGGTGTCGGGTCAGGGTGTCGGTTCGGACAGGATGGTGCCGGTTCTGACAGGATGGTGCCGGTTCTGACAGGATGGTGTCGGGTCAGGGTGTCGGTTCTGACAGGATGGTGCCGGTTCTGACAGGATGGTGTCGGGTCAGGGTGTCGGTTCTGACAGGATGGTGCCGGTTCTGACAGGATGGAGTTGGGTCCGGGTGTCGGTTCTGACAGGGTGGTGCCGGTTCTGACAGGATGGTGCCGGTTCTGACAGGATGGAATTGGGTCACTCAGGTGGTCGATGTTTTCTTTACTCAATAACCCCAGCTGGCAGGCCCCGCCCCCTTGGTTAGTGAGAAGCCGTATTCCTGAGCAGTGATTGGCTGCTGTCCCTGTCAATCATTGCGCATCCAGCATCCAGCCAATACCTTACAGAGAATCCGCCTCAGAGGGCGTTAACTATCCATGTGGCTCCCGGTCCCTGATTGGATGGAAGGTTATCACGCTCGGCGCTGATTGGCTGTCTGTATTAGGCGCCAATTCTTGGTTCTGTGAGAGGACGGCTGATATGTCTGACCAGAGATAGAGAGGAAGCAGTGCCAGCCGGGACCCTGCTCTCCCCCGTGTCCTTCCCTCCCGGAGGTAAACTCGGTGTCCGTATACAGCCCGCCCGAGGGACCGACCGCCCCGTCTGCTTCACCGCTAAACAGCATATTTACCCCGGGGCAGCCGGCACTGGCTGGTGTTTGGCGCGCTGACTGCGAGCTCTAATATCGTGTGTCAGGGGCCCGCCCGCACCGGCTCCAATCTGTCACACTCTGCCCGCCCGCACCGTCTGTCCCCCCCTCTGTGTAATCTGCCCTGTGTCCCCCCCTCTGTGTAATCTGCCCTGTGTCCCCCCCCTCTGTGTAATCTGCCCTGTGTGTCCCCCCTCTGTGTAATCTGCCCTGTGTGTGTCCCCCTCTGTGTAATCTGCCCTGTGTGTCCCCCCTCTGTGTAATCTGCCCTGTGTGTGTCCCCCTCTGTGTAATCTGCCCTGTGTGTCCCCCCTCTGTGTAATCTGCCCTGTGTGTCCCCCCTCTGTGTAATCTGCCCTGTGTGTGTCCCCCTCTGTGTAATCTGCCCTGTGTGTGTCCCCCCTCTGTGTAATCTGCCCTGTGTGTGCCCCCCCTCTGTGTAATCTGCCGTTGTCCCCCCCTCTGTGTGTCTGCCCTGTTGTGTCCCCTCTGTGTAATCTGCCCTGTGGTGTGTCCCCTCTGTGTAATCTGCCCTGTGTGTGTCCCCTCTGTGTAATCTGCCTGTGTGTCCCCCCCCTCTGTTAATAATCTGCCCTGTGTGTCCCCTCGTGTAATCTGCCTGTGTGTGTCCCCCTCTGTGTAATCTGCCCTGTGTGTCCCCCTGTGTAATCTGCCCTGTGTGTCCCCCTCTGTGTAATCTGCCCTGTGTCCCCCATCTTAGTGTAATCCTGCCCTGTCCCCCCCCCTCTGTAATCTGCCCCTGTGTGTGTCCCCCCTAGTGTAATCTGCCCTGTGTGTCCCCCCTGTGTAATCTGCCCCTGTGTGTGCCCCCTCTGTGTGATCTGCCTGTTGTCCCCTCTGTGTAATCTGCCCTGTCCCCCCTCTGTTAATCTGCCCCTGTGTGTCCCCCCCCCTCTGTGTAATCTGCCCTGTGTCCCCCCTCTGTGTAATCTGCCCTGTGTGTCCCCCCTCTGTGTAATCTTGCCCTGTGTCCCCTCTGTGTAATCTGCCCTGTGTGTCCCCCACTCTGTGTAATCTGCCCGTGTGTGTCTCCCCCTCTGTGTAATCTGCGGGTGTGTGGCGTCTCACCTCTCTGTGTAATCTTGCGGGTGTTGGCGTCCTCCCCCTCCTGTGTAATCTGCCGTGTGTGTGCGTCTCCCCCTCTGTGTAATCTTGGGTGTGTGTCTCCCCCTCTGTGTGTCTGCCGTGTGTGGCCGTCTCCCCCCTCCTGTGTAATCTAGGTGTGTGTGGCCGTCCTCCCCCCCTCTGTGTAATCTGGGTGTGTGGCCGTCTCCCCCCCTCTGTGTAATCCTGCTGGTCTGATGTGGCCGTCTCCCCCCCTCTCTGTGTAATCTGCGGTGTGTTGGCCGTCTCCCCTCTGTGTGTCTGCCGTGTGTGGCCGTCTCCCCCTCTGTGTGTCTGGGTGTGGCGTGTCCCCCCCTCTGTGTAATCTGCCGTGTGTGGCCGTGTCCCCCCTCTGTGTAATCTGCCGTGTGTGGCCGTGTCCCCCCTCTGTGTAATCTGCCGTGTGTGGCCGTGTCCCCCCTCTGTGTAATCTGCCGTGTGTGGCCGTCTCCCCCCTCTGTGTAATCTGCCGTGTGTGGCCGTCTCCCCCCTCTGTGTAATCTGCCGTGTGTGGCCGTCTCCCCCCTCTGTGTAATCTGCCTTGTGTGGCCGTCTCCCCTCTCTGTGTAATCTGCCTTGTGTGGCCGTCTCCCCACCCCTCTGTGTATAATCTGAGCTGTTGAGCCCCTGCTATACTGTGTTACATTTCTCCTTCACTCTGGTGTAGTATATTTTTCACCTTTTTTATTTTTCTCAGTCTATATTAAGTGTCTTTTTTGTTTTTCCCTCAGTTTCTTGTCAATCTACACTTTCTTTGGAAGATGGATATATCCAGCCCAACTCCCGTCCCTGCTCACACTTTGAGCCGGCCGTCTGGTCTTCCTGTGGCGAAGGCTCTGTTTTCGTGCAAGGCAGACACTGCTCTGTCTCCGGTCACTAACCTGGCTTTGAACATGGACCAGCTGGCATGTCTGGGCAGGTACTGAATTCTGGCCAGTCCAAAATCTTCCTTTTATTTGTCTCTATTAAAACTACGAACAGATGGATAACTATTGCGTACATGTAATGCAGGGCAGTGACTAGTTTATTAACCTTGCAGTACACCCTTCCTGAATCAATCTCGGCTAACTTGTCGGCAATAGCCGTAGGGTTAAGTGGTTATATTGATTATACGTGCACGTTATGGTACAAACCATAACCTTCCTTTCTTCCAACAATTGTTCTATAACGGTTACTGTTACATGGTCACTTTATTAATGGAAAGCTCTGTAATTGTGCGAACCTGGCACTGATCTCAAGACTTTGTGGAATGTGATAACTGCGCTAAATTCCCAGAAATCCTGCTAACCTATGAGCCCATCACAATTTAGTATTTCCTTCTTAGATGAAGGATATCTTCAGTAATATGCAGTAATTCTGTCAGTTTACTGAATTCTTGTTTTATTTAGCTGTGCTTGCTGCAACACAGTATTTGACTGATTTTGCATGTGTTATCTTCCCGTTACTACTTCACAAATTAGGGACTATCTAAGCACCAAAATCACTTTGCCTTCAAGGAACTCTTCAGAGACCGAAGATTTCTTAATGGTCTGCATTCCAGCTCATTGAGACGTGTTGGAAAGACTCCAGTACTCAGATTGGTGACTGGAATAAAAGGGTGGGCTTTCTGCAGATTTTCCAAGCTGCTCTCTCATATATCCCCAAATAGTACATGCAGCAAAAATTAGATGCATGCTTTCTCAGATATACGTACTAAAAAGGGAGGGGGGGGAGGGGCAGAGGAGTGGTTTTATTTTATTTTATTTTTATTTTTTTGAATGAAGTGGTAATTGGTCATATAGCTGATCCAGCTAGTCTTGACATTGTAGCAGTAGACTAGTAGATATTAATCTAGAACAATTTGTGTCTCTGAAGACATGAAAAACCTGCAAGCGAAGTGCTGCCATGAGCAGGTCTTTCAGGCAGGTCCTGTGTCAGACTTGTTCTGCTGTTTTCCTCCTTGATTTGTATAATCTGCTTTTATATTTTTTTTTTTATTTTTTTTTTGTTCAATTATTACATTGTGCTATTTCTGAATCTAACTTTTGTTTCTCAGTCAGTGTGAAACCCCTAAACGTAAAGCCGTAGATCGCTGCTCCATTGAGAGAACTTGTTCTTCAGATTCTGTGGATGCCGGTACGTGACATGCAGGCACTCACTGACTTTAATGGAGCTGTAGGAGTTTGTATCTTTGGCTGCGGTCTGCTTTTCTTTGCTCTGTGTTGACTATTCAGACTGTGCAGTCTGGCCCTGCCATTGGATGTGTTCTGTGTTCGTTTATCTTGTTTGTACAAACTGCTTGTTCTGATCGGTATACACTGGAAGCTAATTCTTCTATTATACATTAATTTTCCCTATTACTCCATCACTACTTTCCGTACTCTTCCCCCCTCAGGCCTGTTCCTTGAATCTCCCCGTGCGCTGGATTTTGCAGATGTGGAGGAAATGTGAGTATCTGGTTTTTAAACTCCAACTCTCTGATGCAACTGTTAAACTAACCTGAATTTTTCAAGTTTGGCTATTGTGATCTTAAGTTTGAAATTCACTTTGAATTCTCAGTTTAGTAAATAAAACTGCTTGCCTCTTCCTTGGAGGACATGTGCTTCCTGGCATGCATTAAGACATGCTAATCAGCAGGTGTCCCTATAGAGTGCACTATTCCTGGTGATAGATTTAGCAGGATCTGTGATATTATGTAAACTGAAGTCGCTGAGCCAGTATCTGTTTCAAAGAATCTGCCTACAAATATTTGTTTTCCCTTTTTTTTTTTTTTTTTTTTTTTTTTTTTTTTTTTTTTTTTTTTTTTTTTTTTTTTTTTAGGTTTGAAAAAGCAACACATCAATCTGAGCGACTTCAAAAGTAAGCTGTCTTACCATATGAGTACACCAAAAGTTTGTCTGGTCTGTGCTGTCACAGTGGGGTAATGGGACATTCTGCTACAAATAAATAAAAATCCCCTCTTAGTAGATATATTGCCAGGGCAAAATGCATATATTTAATTATGCATTTTTAATTGTAGGTATATCTAAAAACAGCTTGTAAAAGATGCTATCTACCTCTTTCCCAGCCTAAACCTTTTGTGGCCATCCAATCAGGCTTCCCAATACAGCTCAACGAGAAGTCTTTGCAAGGAAGGTGCTCTAGGCAATTGCTGCCTCTTGAGTTTATCTCCACTGAGTGAAACAAACCAGGAAATAGGACCTGTTACCTGACTGTCAGGGGAGTGTAAGAAGGATTGTGTAAAAATATCAATGTTTTGTAAAATAAGTCACTCTTCACACGGCACCCTTCAGCAAGCTGGAAGGGCTTTAGGTGTGTGTGGAGTCCCTCAAACCCCTTAAGGACACATGACGGAAATATTCAGTCATGATTTCCTTTTTATTTCAGAAGTTGTGTCCTTAAGGGTTTAATTGATGGCTTTGTTTGATACATAAAGTCTTAGGCATGCACTCTCATAAACTACTGCATCTCAAAAGAATTGGTGAGTGCCAATGGTAGGATATGATTGCACTTAACACACCAAGAATTCAACAAACAAATTGTAAGTATAGCCACAGTGTGTCCATTTGCAGCCATATTGTCCAAATTTGCCAATAAAGTTTATACTGTTGGGTCACAGTGAATGCATTAAATCAGAAACGGTCATTACGGAGTAATACACGGCAAGTGAATTTGTATAGGCTATTAACTTCTAGCTGTGAACGTCAATGAAATCTAGTGTCCCATCAGCCCTTCATTTTGGAGACCTTGGTGGGGACTGGCCGTAGTTGGGTGGTTAGTACCTGCCAATATCGGTGTAAGAATTGACGTTGTAATCCTTTCTCCTGCTCTAGAATCCCACTAGGAAGAAGGCGCTCTCTGCCGGTGAGTTCCATTACTTTCCTGCTTGGCCTGTGGCTAGAATCTTTTATTACAGTGTGTGATCTTTCATGTGGGCCAGCTAAATGTAAAATGGCAATCTACGTGGGGTGGATTCATCTGATGTTGGGTTAATGTGGAATAAGGACAGCCCTGCTTTGTATATCCTACCATTCTTTCTAAATGGTGCCGTCTGACCAGATACTTTAACTTCCCTTTGCTTTTCTCTTGTCTAATTCCTCATGCAGCAAAGGTTTTTGGGCTCAAGCCCTGCATTCAAACGAAATCTTTCAGACTCCCTGGACTGTGATGTCTTCCACTTCAGTGAAAACAAGGAGAATGTAAGTAAATCAAGAGACACTCCACCTTGGCTCCCTGTCATTGTTATAAGCGCTGTCCTTTGCTCCTGGCAGTCTGCATAGAGAGCAAGCAGATAGGACAAGAAGGAATCATAGTTTCAAATCTTTATATGCAATGCCTTTCCTGGCTTTGTCTGAACTGGATTTGATCTCTATATAATACTGTCAGAATATGCCTTTCTACTTATTTTTACATCTTTCAGACACACTGTTTAAAGTGGTGACATCTGTCTTGTTTCAGGATTCCTTTCAGTTTAAGATGCCAGCCAGGCCGAATTCCCGGTGTTCTTTTTTACTTTCTCAGGGGGAAGGGAAGGACTGCCTTGTGCAGAGGCAGAAATCTGCGCCCGCTTGTATGGTATGTAATCGTTGAGTATCTGTAGTTAGAAGTAGGAAATGCCAGATTCCTAGTAAGCCCGTGCAGGAACCTGTCAATGCTTTGATTTAAAGAGAATGTTAACAGGGAATCCTTCATAAAAATCTAGATATTTAGTTGCTAAATATCTGGAGCTGAAACAATCTGCAATACTTGCTTTAAATTCAGACTAAGCCATGATCTCTTATTTTCCAGCTCACTTCACCTTCCAAAGGTACAGGAACCACTTGTGTGTCTTTCTTCCGGAGAAAGTCGTCATGTGCATCGACTGGAACAGAGGGGAGTGATGATGGTTTTTTGGACATGCTGGATGGCGAGGATGAGGTACGCTCCCTACCCCCCTCCTCACCCCACCGGTGTACAGACCAACGCTCTTTGCAAACCTCTAATACTTGCCTTCCTTTTTATCTAAAGTCTTATCTCTTTATGTGCACATTTTTAGTGGCAGTTTCAATAGGGGGGAAAGTAATGTGTGTTTGAGACTAGGAAGTAGATCTTCAGCCTTTTGAAGGCCAACTCCCATGATTCTGGGAAATAAAGATAGATATTGTAGTTCAGCAGCTGGCAATCTCCTAGTTGGCAAACGGTGCTGGGATAGAAGAATTAATACCTTTTTATAAGATTGGCAGCATATGATTTGCTGTTAGTGTTGTGGGATTTAACTTTTTTTATTTTTTATTTATATATATCTGTATGTACATGCTTTGAATCCTCTGTCTTGAATAGCGCGTATAAAATCATTAATGTTCTTAAACATTTGACTTGCTACAGAGGCTATTACCAGCTTGTTTTGTTCTTACTTTGTAAAATATTCTGTTCGTTCCAGGTTGATGTGGAGTATCCTGGGGGAGTGGAGAGCCTCTGGAAGGCTCCTTTGGTTATGAAGAGCACTGACGTGAGTGGCAGAAACACTGCATTATATGAATGAAATGGCTTGTTTATTCCTCTGTTCCATATTAACTGTCTGTTCAAAGGGACCTGCCAGTGCCTAACATGTAGCTGGTGTTAGTTTACTGTAACTTATTCTGTGTATTTTGGCAAATTCCTACAATGCTAAAGCACTGCACTCCCACAAAGCCCAGTATGGCATCCTATGTGACTGCACTAGGAAATGTAAAATACAGGAATTTGGGGAGATTATCACACACTAGACAGATAAATGTATAATTTATTTTATCATTAAGGTTCTCAATACTTCAACTGATTAGTAATGTGATTATCATATTATATACCTGTAGTCTGAGCACCTGATGGGCTCTTCTGTACTGATTTTAGACATTCTGCCTGTAAAAGCTCTGCTTCTATTGCAAGCTCATTTATTAGGTAGATATTTAATGCCATCTTTCCTTAGTGTACAGAAATGGTTTCTCCCTCTCATCTCTGTGCAAGCAGAGCAGCTAAACGGATCGAGCGGACACAAGGTGAAGATTTGCCAAAGAAAAACAAGAGGCGGAGGAGCATGTTGGATGTGCCTTGTGACGAGGAGAGTGGTCATGAGGTGATGATTCTATAAAGGAGTGCTGGAGTAACCTGAATCTCGGTCCTAGTATTCCTAGAGACTACTCTAGCAATGCTGACCTCCCACATAAAATCTATTTAAATCATGGTTATTGCTCATTCTAAAACCTTCATCTGGGTGCAAATATAACTTCACATTAGTTTAACCGTTGATGTGATTGTTTTTATTTACCATCATGATCTATGCATTTATTTAGGAATATGTTCTTTAAATGTGAAAGTAAATAAAACTTAGCAGTCGGGATGCTACAACTCATGGTGTCTAGTATCCTAGTGTTTCATCCCAACTGCTAAACCAAGATTTGTCCAAATAGGGAGGACTCTACTTACAATTTTGGTTTTAATACACTTTTTCCCACTCCTTTAACCCCTTCATGACCTTGTCCGTCACCCGTTAAAATTAACTCCGGATTGGGGGATTTGGTGTTAGGCTAACCAGGGGTTAATGTTAAAAGTTTTAAACTTAAACTTTTTAAGCTTCATTTTTTTAATTAAGTAAATTAAACCCCCACCCCTTACAGAGTCCAAATAAAAATTAACCCCTTCTCTGCCGGTCGATCACTGCCTACAGTGATCAAAATACAGATCACAGTACTGTACTTTGAGAGATAGATAGATAGATATATATATTTATATATTCCCCCCCCCAACTCTCAGGGGTTCAATTTATTTAAACATTTTATAATTTGCTAGCTGGGGTGGGAGTTATGGGAAAATGGGGAATTTAATGTTAGTGCTGCATACTGCTAGTTAGGGGTTAACAGTAAAAAAAATAAAAAAAAAAAATTGTTAAATCTGTTTGTTTTTTTTAAAACAAAAAAGCAAAACCAGTTTAAAAAAACATTTAAAAACACTCATTACCACTACACCTGGAACAAACTAGAGAAAAAAATGATCCCACGCCAAGATTCAAAATATGCCTTTATTTACCCCAGAGTGTATTCTTTAATAAATAGTATGTGTTTGTGGGGAAGTTTCAATAACAAACCGTCTAAATTACTCCAAATTTGAACATGGACACAGCGTAAAACTTCAAAGTTAGAAAAAAAAAACCTGGCTGCGTCTCAAATGTGCCCCTTCAACATCCACATATACCTGGCAAAGGTACATACGGAGGTATTGCTGTACTCAGACAACATAGCTGAGTAACATATGAAGTATTATACAGTCGTAGCACACATAAGGTTTGCAAAATATACTGTGCAAACTCACTTTGTGTGTCCAAAAAGGCAGAAAAAACGCTGATTACCACTACACCTGGTACAAGCTAGCGGTAAAATGATCCCACGCTAAGGTTCAAAATATGCCTTTTGAAATACCCTGGGGTGTCTAATTTAAGAAATGGTAGGCCTTTGTGGGGTAGTTTGAATTTAAAACCTGCTAAGATGCTTGGAAATTGCACATAGGCCCAGCGTCAAAATTCAAAGTTCGGTAAAAACTGACATGGCTTGGTCTCCTATATGGCAAAACTTTGTACAGGAATAGCATACACCCTTTACTTAACCTGCACTAATTGTGCCCACATTATTGTAAAAAAAAAAAACAAATTTTTTTTTTGTATTTTATAATAAATACGCATTTGTGTGTGTATGTATGTTACATCAAACTAAAGCCCTTTCTGTCCTTTAAAAAACGGTATATAATATGTCAGTGCAATAAATTTGTAAAATGCAAATTGCAGTTGAACAAACAGCAAAAAAATGAAGAAAATGCTGTTAAGTGAAAGACAAGCGTTTGAAGCTCTGTCATTAAGGGGTTAAATGTGTCTAAAGGTTTTTTTTATTTACACTGATATTTAGAGGACACATTCTTGGTAGACTTTTTTTATTTTTTTATTTTTTTTTATTTTTTTTCTCTCTCGTAGTTCACTGTTTAGGGGTTACACTTCTTTTATATATTTTTTATTTTTTTTTATTTTTTTTCTTCGCTTTAACTGATTCTGATACCACTCAGTGTATGGTGTCAACCAGTAAATGGCTCCTTTTTTAGGCAAAAGAAAATATGCCTAGAATTGACATTAGCCAGCCTGGAACTTTTTTGGCTGGCTACTGACATAACATTGCCAAAGGTGGATTTTAAATCTGACTGCAAAATAGCTCCATTTATTGAAAAGCTTCAGACTCCAAGCATCGTGCCAACTTCAAGTCACTGAAGTGGTTATGGTGTTTGGAGTAACCCTTTAAGGTAAGCTGTACATTGTCTTTACAGTTTGAACAGCAGTCTGAACTTTGTTAATTTTTATAACCTCCCTGGTCTGGAGTGTTCTTCTTGGCTAAACATAAAACCTGTAAATACAATCTTTATAATTTCTCCTTTGTAGAAAACACAGCTTGCGCGGTCAAAGTCCTACGCGCAGGAGAGCATTGAACACCTGTTTGATAATGATGAAAGGGATCTGATTGGAGACTTTTCCCAGGTAAGGAATGTGTGGTTGTGCCACTTGCGGGCTCCAGCTCTCCCTTTAATGCATTTTGGTATCCTTGGAATATAGATTTACTGACTTCCAGACCTTTTTATAGCACTTTCATGACCAGGTGCCTTAACTGGTTTCAACTGAACTTCTTGTATTTCCCCCAACAGGCCTTCCTTTTTCCTACGGTGAGTGGAAAGCGCCAGGAACTAAAGTATATCAGCCCAGAAGTGGTAAGTGTTTAATTTTCTGTTCGGAATGAAGATTTTAAATAAAGCAAAATATTGACCTGTGAGCATATCTTGGGTAGGATTGGGTTACAGCTTTATTAACAAAGCCAAGGTTAAGATTTATGTATATCTTGGTAGGGACTCCATTCTGACTTTATTTTCATGCTCTCTCCCAGATGGTTATGATTCTTAGTGGAAAGTTTGAATCTTTCATTGAACGCTGTGTAATCATAGACTGCAGATACCCATACGAGTACGAAGGAGGACACATCAAGGTAGGGTATGAAATTTCACAGCTAGTCTGTAGACGACTAAATGTCAGGTCACCGTAATGCGTTTTAATGCGAATAAGTGGTTTGCCTTAGCAAGCAGTGTAAATATATTTACTAACTAATTTGGGCGGTCCATATGGGTATATACCTTGTTAAATACTCCGAACTCTGTCTGGTGCTCTGTGTAAAATGGCTTGAATATTGCTTTTCTGCGATCATAAACTGCAGTAACCTCCATAACTTGTACAGACTGTCTACCAAGCTGTCCACATGTTTCAACAGTGAAAACTTGGAGCATATGTGGCAGACTAGTGCCAAGTCATCCTGTTAACATATGCATTGATGTTCACATATCTTTGACTCTTGTAGGGAGCCATTAATATGCACATGGAACAAGAGGTGGAAGATTATCTGCTGAAAAATCCAATAAAGCCATCTAGTTCGAAGAGAGTGATCCTGATTTTCCACTGCGAGTTTTCTTCAGAACGCGGCCCCAGAATGTAAGTTCTAGGAATTTTCTTTGATCACTAACACTGATTAGAATGTGATGGCAGATAAGAACCATTCCGCCCATGTAGTCTGCCCAATTTTTTTTTTTTTTAAAGACTTCGATTAGTCCCTGGCCTTATCTTATAGTTAGGATATCCTTAATGGGTTCTTTACAGTACCAATAGCTGCTTCCTGACTATTTTGGTCTAACTAAAATCATTTCATAGAATTGTCTAACACATGGGTTGTCAACCTGGTCCCTACCGCCCACTAATGGGCGTTTCAGGATTCCAGGTGGGCGGTAGGGATTTCGGCGGCACAACAAGCTAAAATACTAAATCCTCCTTTTGAGAGAGTGGGCGAGTGCACACATGAAAGTACGACTGTGTGCGAGAATGCAAATGTGTAACACGGAAGGGGAGGAGTGGGAGCTGATGCACGATAGGGACAGACAGAAGAGGAGCAGAGCAGTTGTAAAATAGGAGAAAAAAGTTATACGCAGGACAAGGAGAGAATTGTTGGCTAATAAGTGTGCTAACTAGCTCAGCATTACTTTTGTACATTGCCATAAGGAAGGTAAAAGAAAAGCATTTTTAAAAAGGAAAAGATGAGATTTTTTGTGTACTTGTAGAATAGGAGACAGGAGCAGAGTACCTGTAAAAAGGAAAGAATTATTGTGGACTACCTAGCTCAGCCTTCCTACTGGGCATTGGGGGGCAGAGGGGGGTGGGGAGCTGATGCACAGATGAGAAATCGTATGAGCAAACAGTCATCTGAATATCGCCAAAAGAGGAGACCTTTGTTTGTTCTTTACGAAAATCGAACCAGATATCAAATATTTAGTCTTGCAGCATCAACCTCAAAGGTATCATTAAAGGTAATTTCAATTTACTTTTTCTCATTAACCCCTTAAGGAAACATGACGGAAATATTGTCATGATTCCCTTTTATTCCAGAAGTTGTGTCCTTAAGGGGTTAAACTTTATGAATGTTTATAATTTTTTAACTTTATAAAGTAGAAATAAAGGGTTTTTTTTTTTTTTTTTCCACCCTTTCTAAAAAATATTCTGCACTTGGGTGAAAACTGGTTGGCTGTAAGGTAATTTTTCCATCAAGAAAGATGCATTAGTGGGCGGTAGGTAGAAAAGGGCTGACTACCCCTGATCTAAAATATCCGGTTCAATCTCTGAATGTTGGTCTGATTATAAGTATTGATAATCCTTGGACCCCTTCCTGCATTTCACTAACTGCCCTGTGGCATGTTTTCTCACAGGTACAAGTTTCTACGGGAGAAAGACAGAGATCTGAATGAATACCCTAATTTGCACTACCCAGAGCTCTATGTATTACATGGCGGATACAAAGACTTCTTCCAGAAAGCACAGGTAACTGGTGCCAATGCTACATTCTCAAAGTGTCTGATTCACATCCCATGACTTCAGAAGATATAACAATTTACAGTACAAGGTGTCATGGGGTGTTTTTTCATATGGGGCTAATCTTGGTGCAAGTGGCGTGTTACTGCCGGCTGCCACATTCTTACATTGCTGCTTAACCAGAATTTAAAAGTTGGACCTTCACTAGCTCCTGTTGGGGTCCGGCTAGCAATATGCAGGATCTTTGTACAATGGGTAACATGGCTCCTGTGCCTTGCGCTGCTGGGGGGGTGTAATCATCTTGGTTGCCACTAAAATTGTACAAAAATGCATTTCCGGTATTACAAACCTGTGAAATTACTTTTAATGGGGGCAGAGATTAGCAATGCACCAGCACACACCACTTCAAGCAAATCTGAGGTTTTCAAGTAGAATGTCTCTGCTGGTTAACTTCTCCATCTGCTTGGACAGTCCCTTCAGGGCATAGTGCTGAACAAGAGGATGCATTTTTTTTTATTTTTTTTTTATTTTATTTTTTCTCTACCCTCAGTGTTAAGTAGACTCGGGATTCTCTTGCCCACTGAAGCTGACTTTAACAGAGTGCCTCTAGAGCGCAATGAATGCATAGCTGCAGACTCAGATCCTTTCACCCTCACTGCTGGAGATATGGGACATGTATGTCCAACACGAAGAGCAGTGATCTTGGCCAGTTGGGTAAAGAAATGACACAGCATTGCTTCCTACTATATTGGCACGTGATGCCAGATTGTGCCACCACAGCCATCAAACAGGACACTCAAAGCTTACTGGCAGACATGTTGTTCACGGCTGATCTGGCTGTGGTAAAGGCACAGGCTGTAACACCTAGAGGACAAGGTTTGCCCGCGCTGGGGGGATCAGTGCTCCCTGCAGTTGTACTATTTTGACATTTGTCTGTTGTATGCAGATTACTTCCCTAAAATCCTGTTCCACCCACAATTTATTTTAAATTACTTTTACCCCTAAATTAATGGATCTGGGATTTGTCTGTTGACCCTACATCACAGGAAAATCAGAGTGATTTAAGCTTAGCCTAAAAAAAACTTTTTTTTATTTTTTATTTTTTTTTTTCTTCCTCTGTCTGTCCTGCACTAAGCTTGAACATGTCTTGTTTTTCAGACTTTCTGTGAACCCCAGACCTATCGCCCCATGCACCACGAAGACTTTAAAGAAGACTTTAAGAAATTCCGCATGAAAAGCCGAACATGGGCTGGTGAAAAAAGCAAGCGGGAAATGTACAGCCGCCTAAAAAAGCTGTGATATTTGCAGGCTTCACTCATATCGGAGACAGGGCAGGAGTCTCTGTTGTGAAGAGCACTGAAACTGTTCTGCCATCTTTTGCACTTGTTTTAGACCATGTAATAACCCACCACATGTGGCTGTGAGTCCTTGACGAGCTCTGCCCATAACAGGGTGTCTGTCTGAGAATGGCCCAATCTGGGACAGTTTGTGTCTTGTAACGTAGTATTTCTCTATGGGTTACTACTTGTTTTTAATCTCTCCCTATGTCACATTTGGGGGAATAGTGACCGGGAGTGTTGTATACACTATCTTATTTTTTTATTTTGTTTACAATATTTTTATAAATCTTTTTATTCATGCCCCTGACCAGTCTCTTTAGGAAGTTCATATTGAATCAATGATTCACCTTGGCCAGTGTTTTCATAAGTGTGTATGTTGAGCTTCAATGAGCTCTGTATGTTGAATGAAAATTTTATATTTAGTGTGAGTGTAAAAAATGAAATTCACTGGCAATTTTTTTTTTTTTTTTTTTTATAAATGAGATTGGCCTAAATTACCATCGCTGTGAACAGGTCATTGTAATGTTAACTTTTTCCCTATTGCTGGGAGAGACGTTTTTTTTTTTTTTTTGGTTTGTCCCTCTATTGACTTTTCTACCTTGGTAGAGGTGACAACAAGCTGGTAACGGTCATTTAGAGCCAAAATCCTGCCTGAATGTTTACTTGTTTTCTAATTTGTATTTTAATTGTCAATGTGGCAGGTACGCAGTAACCTCTGCCTGGTAGGTGTGGCTCCTGTGACCCCCACCTCCTTGTTAGATTTGGTTTGATCGGAGTACCATTAGTCTGTACATGTTATTGTAGACTGTGTATAATGTTACAATTCACTGATTTATACATAAGACTTGCTACCTGTGTTTTCCTGTGACATCTTTATTTACAAGGTTTAAATCTGCCTGTAGGGAATATGCAATCTGTAATGCTGCTTTCTCCCTGCTACAGAAAATAAACTACCTAAAACATCTTTGTTCCCAGCCTACATATGCATTGTGGGTAATTGGCAGCTGGAATATAAGGAAACTATGGAGTGCTTTTAAAAGGTTTGTGGTCACTTGACAGAGTAAACCCACAGTGGGTTTCTGCTACAGGGAATCATTGGAACGTATTACATTGTCCAGTTGATCTTGTAAGAAGCATTTTGGGTGTAGAGAAATGTACCCTTAGTTTTGAAGCCCACAGATTCTAGCTCATTTAACTTATAACGTTCTCATTGATCTTTCTCTGAATAGTGATTCTCCTGTCCATCTCAAAGTGCAAAATTCAAGATCTGGAAAAACCCTTTATAATATAACCCTGCCCCAATATATTGTCTGTGTTTTCACTCTGCACGTTTAGGCTGGTCATGACAGTGTTGGGCTCCTAAGGCGAGCAGTCTTTTAGCTAATTTAAGAGCACCAAGATGGCTCTGCTGTACACCAGCACCCACTGATAAATTAACTTAAAACCCCTTAAATGTATATTTTAAAATAAGGTGTTTTTTTTTTTTTTGTTTTTTTTCTTCCTCTTTCAAAGCTGATTGACCCTCCGGTCCAATGCTTCCCGTAGAGAATCATTAACATGGAAAGGCAATCTTCAGCACTCAAGATGTGAACTACGTCTTTTGATGCTTTGCCAGCATTAAGAGGGTTGTAGTTCACAGCTGGAGTACTGAAGGTTTCATGTGCCTGTCAAAGTCTACTGTACAATGCATAGTAACTGCAGGGTGTGCTATGGAGAAGCATTGAAACCAATGTGGCTGTATGAGAAGCATTCATGTTTTAGTGAACACTACTAGAAGTGCTTTTAATAGGTTTGGTGTCTTCTAATTGCCAGAATATGCCATTTTGGTGAGTAGAAATGTCAGTGTAAACTTAACTTTTATTTCCATACGTGGTTGAGTAAAATCACCTTTTACTCAACCAATACAGCAGGCTTGGCTTGTCTTATGCTGCATGTCAGCTTAGTTACAGCTCAAGAGGAACCAGATTAGACAGAGGGCACTCTGTACAATTAAGCATAGAGCTGAGATCACGTTTGTGCTTTGGAGAGAGAAGTCGCTCAGACAATGACTGGGTGTACCATATGGAAAGGCATACAACCGCTTTTTAATCAGCTTTGATGCAGTCAGATATTAATCAGTAATAGCAGAGGGTACTTACAGTTTCATGCATGCAAATGTGTATCAAACAAACTGCATGTAGTGTAAAAACTAAAATAATCTGAAAGGCAATCTGTAAATGATCTAATCTTCAAGCAGAAAATTGTCACATCTGATACTCTGCACCCATTTCTTACAAAGAGGCTGCGTAAGACTAACAATTGCTTGGCAAAAACCACTGACAATGTAGTAAAGACCAGGCTACCCAGATGAAGTCTGCTAGTTTTGCTACCACTAGAAACACCCACCTTCAGCATAAACAAGAATCCAACATGACAATACTGAACCCAATGAAGAGAAATAAGTGAATAAATCAGGAAGTGTGGGAATCCTTAGTTGGAGATGCTCAAAAAGCCATCTCGTCTGACGCACTGTGACAATAGCGAACTACAACGCAAACTAAAATATTTAATCAACTTTGTGTGTTTAGTCTTATTAGACTATAGTGCATGCAGGGGGTGCTCTAACATCTGGATAATGACACAAATTTTATTGACTGAAGCTGGGGGTGAGGGTTTTTTTTTTTGTTTTTTTTTTAACCACCAGGGAAAGAAACTGGGTTTAAAAAGTTGATAAAAATTGGAAATAAGTTGCGCTACAGTAACAGAAAAATAAGTAGTAATGTACTCACATATAATGAATAAGGCAAAAATATTTTCTAATAGTCCTAATACTTAGTAGGCTGCTATAGGGTCAAGTTGACCTGTGGTCTCGACTCAGGTTTGGATATGTGGACATAAAAAGAAAAGTACTCCAATAGTGCAGACTGCAACTTATAGGTAAATTGAAGGAAATAAAAATACACAACAGGTAGGTAATCCACTCACCTATTGAGGAGCCAAGACTAGCTCAAGTATAGTTGGCATTCAGTGGTGTTGATCCCCCACTGGTAGGATGTAGGTCTTGATAATCGGAAGAGCTCCTGGGTATGTGGAGAGATAAAAGCCAAATATAGTGCTCACTGTAGATCTTGTAAAACAGGTCAATATGGAGAAATAGAATACTCGCATGAGCAGGATATACTGCTCAGTATGATAGCATAGGTGATAATACTATCCCTGTAGCGGAGCTGCAATATTAAAATCTCTGCTGGTACAGAAAGTAATCCAAAGAAAGCGCTGAAAATTAAGGCAATATCCCAAATCCCCCAGTAACCGGACGAAACAATTCTGGGAGTCAACTGCTGATTTTATTCACAAGCTCCAGTATTTATGTGGTTCCCCATGCAAGGGGTTTCCTTACTGACTTTACAGGGGTTGTACAGTAGGGGACTACATGGTGATTTAACATATAGAACATTTCTCCCACCATGCACTGCTGTACGAGAGGGATACTCCCACTAGAATATCCTGTTAAGTGGATTATCCCTCCGTACAGCAGAACTGGCTTTTTACATAAAAATATATAACTTCTATTTTATTCATGCCACTGTACCGAATGACCATTCGGCAGATAGCTGGGGTCTTAGCGCATACTTTGTGAAAGTAGCGCTCAGATCCCAGCCAAATCAGCCGAACGCCGCACGAAATATACTTTAACATACATTCCTCATAGAAGTCACGAATACATAGGTGGAGAAAAAGTACCTAATGGCCCACGCTCCAATGTTATAGATAAAATAGATGTAATAAAATAATTTGTCAAAATTACTTTCAAATAAAAGGTATATGGTTAAAAAAGCCAATATTCCTTTATTAATAAACTATTAAAATAATTTTTATGTTATTAATTGTGACAGAACCATCTGTCTGCTTGGATTTTTACCCCGTTCGTCTGTTTGTCCCCCGTTCGTATGAATGGCTGGTTTCTATAGCCCAGCCATTCGAATGACTCTTTTTCCCGAACAAATCTGCCGAACGAACGGCCACCCAAGTGAGGAGTGTGCTGCTGGTTAACGAAGTGATCCCAATTAGAACGTTGTGGTTAACCGCAGACACTTCTCAATTAAACCGAATTCAGGGTGGTCGTCGTTCGTATGTCGACCACGAGGCAGCGGCCATTTTAAATCACGCGAACGCCCAGCGGTGTTTGGCTCTATTTCTATGGAACTGAAAACGGACACTTTTTCTGCCGAACACCGCTGAAACAAGGGAACGCCTGGCTGCCTCCACGAAAGCATGCGAACACCGGCCGTTCGGGAGATTGAGAGCATACAAAAGACTTAACCCAGATAGCCTTCCCATGGAGTCATTCGTATACCGAAAGACTGTAAGAACTTTGACTCCATGGCGATTGAACTATGTGTGTGGGATCTGAGCGCTATTCGCTAATAATATGCACTCAGATCCAGGCTATCTGGGGACATGTAATACTAATGGGAAATGTTCAGTTTTCATGTAGTTATGTATTTTTATGTCTTTTATTATTTTATGTCTAAGATGGCGACTGTCCTTGTCCTGGAGTTAATTGAGTTACTTGGTAATTAACTCCAGGGCAGAGGGGAGGGAATCATAATGCACTGTGGGTAAAATATGTGACTGTGTGTCTGAAATGTCCCTCTATCTGTCTGTAGTTTAAGTCTCCCATTTGGTCCCCTAGGGGAGTGTCCACCAAGTGGGAGACCTGCATAAATACGGGCAGGTAGCCCACAGTAAAACCAGATTCTGTTGGACCCTCAATGCTTCTGTCTGGTTATTGGGGGGATTTCTTCTTCACGTTTAGAGACTGCTGGATGGAACAAAAGCCGCTTGGGGAATATTACTGTTCGACGGTTACCAGCAGTTCGTGTATGGCCGTTCGGGAGTTTGGAGCCGTTCGTGGATTTCGATCGGGAGATTGCCGCTTCCCCTGCATTGGGTTCGTGTGTTACAGAGTAAGCGAACGGAGACTGTACTGCAGCCGGGGAAGGTTTACTAAATGGCGGTTTTACCTAAAGACACTGGAGGTGTCTTAACAATTGGTGGCAAGCGACGGGATGAATCCTACAGCACTGGAGGTCAGCTACAAGACATGCAGTACGAGGAATTAAGGCGTGCTACACTGAAGGACATATTGGAACGCCGAGGAAGGTCAGCAAGCAATTTAAAGAAATGGGAGATTATTGCTTTGCTACTGGAGATGGATGCAGCAACGGGAATGGAAAGAGTCAACGTGCCCAGTACCTTGGATTTATCACACTCGAGGAAATACAATTTAACTGGGCAGTGCAAATAAGGCTGGCACATTTTGGCCCCAACCCCTCAGCTGACATCGTGGTGCGTGTGCAGGCAGCAGTAGCAGCACAACAGGCGGCCCGGGAAAGAGGAGCTGCAGCAGCAGAGGTACCTTACGATAATAATGTGGTTGCTAGAAAGAAGGTACCTTTTGCTGCATTTAAAAATTTTGTGGAAACAGAGGGAGAGATTGATGGATTTTTAGCAGACTTTGAGAGGCAGTGTGCGCTACATCAGGTACCTGCAGATGAATGGGTCACCATCCTCTCTGGGAAATTATCTGGCCGGGCTAGTGAGGCGTTTCGGGCCATCCCAGAGGAGGAGATCACCAGCTACCGGGCTGTGAAAGAGGCGCTCCTAGCCAGGTATGCGGTGACCCCAGAGGCGTACAGGCGGAGGTTTAGAGAAACCAACAAGCTGGTTGGGGACTCTTATGTGGAATGGGCCTGCAGAGTCCATCGTACCGCAGCCCACTGCTGGAGCACTGTTTTGATAGACTACCTGCTGGGGTCCGGGAATGGGTCAGAGATAGAAAACCCTCTACCCTACCCGAGGCTGCCCGTCTGGCAGACGAATACACGGATGCCCGCAAGTTGGATGGTACAGCTGCTAAAGCCCCTGCCAGACTGGAGTATCAACCAGCAGTAATACCCGCTCCTTCAGTCTACCAACCCCCAGTACA